TCTTTCCACGAACTCATTTTCTTTAACTAACCCGAGAATGGCCGTTGCCCAAAACTGTCTTGTGTTTCCTGTTCGGCCCGAAAATGAAAATGAAACAATTTGCCAGCCAAAAGTAATATAGATATCGCCTTCAAGGGGCTGCTGGCGTGTGATCTTCTGTGTGCGTCTGTGGGTATATGCCCTGTGTGTACGTGTGTGTGTGTATATGCCCCTCATTGACGCTTTATTCTGATGTGCGCTGGTATGTTGTTGTCGTTTACTCCATGCGACAGCTTTTTTCGCTCTCCTTGGGCTTATTTGTTTAGCCCGGCATTTTATTTTTACTGTTTATAAGCTGACAAAATTGTTTTGCTGCCTCGTCGACGCTGTCGTCGTTAAATGATTTTCTTGTTGCTTTATGTTAACGGTCACACTGCGGCTACGTAATAAAATGGCCGCAACAAATGATTGGCCGGGCTTGGTAGCGAATTTGTATGCGCCTGCCAGCCGCATGTGTTGCGCATACGCCATGTGAGCTGCCCACTTAACTGAGATTGTTTTCGCTTTTTTTTTGGGCTATTTCAAACCCAAATCAAAGCAGGCACACACTCACACACACACACACACACACACATTATGGAGGAAAAAACATTCGCTTTTGGCTTTGCATAGATAAGCACTGGGAGCGTTTTTCAATTTCATGCACTTGACTGCGGCCGCTGGGCACTCGTCAAAAAAGCAAATCCCCGTTTGCTGCCCACCAAATCCTGTCCAATGGACATTTCCTCATCGCTGCTCACATTGCGTAAGCAAATGCAAATCTCCTAGAGCGTTCCGGCCTGATGAAATCGGACGTTATGTATGTGCATTTTTCGGCATTCGCTTCGCGCTTCGTTGATTTGTAAAAATACTTCAAAAAAAAGAAACGAAATAAATGAAATAAGGAATTTTCTTCGTTTTTTTTCAGTGTACGAATCTGTGTCAACTGCTTTGCCTGGGAGGCAGGGCCCTTGGCCAGGCCTGTCATTTTACTTTAGTTTTAGTTTTTCTTCTACATAAATTTCGGTAAAAAAAAAATAAATAAAAAATATTTACTCAAAAAAAAAGAAAGCCAAGAAAAAATGGCTAACTCTGGCACGCCCAGGGCAGCTTCAACTGATGCAAACGGCTTGGAGCTGCAGCAGCTGATTTCACGCAGCTACAAATCGATGAACAAACTGGTTCACTTCTACAATGGCCAGCTGCACGAGGAGCTGAGCACTCTGATGAGCTCCCTGCAGCAGGAGCAGCCACCAGGCCGCAGCATCAGCGAACACAGCTCGCAGCTAACGGAGGCGCTCGACTTAAAGTGGTAAGCCAAGCCATTCGACATTCGATAGTCGACAACTAAATGTATCGACTGACCGTCCACAGTTTAGCAGGGTTTAATAAACTCAGCCACTACCTGATGATGCGGCCCAGTTGCAGCAGCCTCGATCTGCACGGCAGTGCTGAATTCAGGCAACTCTAGGCAACGCGAAAATTTTTCATAGAACTTCTTCCGGCTCACAGTAAATCCCAATAAATGGCATTAAAGCGCCTTGCAATACACTACGAATTTGAGCACACTAACTGACACTTCTTGTTATTTATTTTATAAGCGAGTTTTCCTCATGAGTAAATCATTTTATTATGGAATTTATTTAGTTTATGCGAATTATATACTTCTGTTCTATGAATTTGCGCAATGCACTTGTGTTTTTCTATATAAAAAAATAGTTTTTGACAGAAGTCTTTTTAGTGATTTATATCAATATTTGTTTAAGAGTTGGAAATAATACAGTACGAATTAAAAGACAATAAATAACAATCAACCAAGTTTTTCTTATCTCTATATATAAAACTGTTTGTCCTGACTGACTGACTGACTGACTGACTGACTGACTGACTGATTGGTGATCAACGCACAGCCCAAACCATAAGAGCTAGGAAGCTGAAATTTTCACTGTAGCTACCTTATGTGATGTAGGTGCACGTTAAGACGGGGTTTCGGGAAATTCCACTCGCAAGTGTGGAAAAATCGCGAAAAACGTTTGTATGTAACTTTTTTGTTTACCATCCGATCGGCCCCAAACTTATTTTCAAAGATCTTTGTTCAAATTCATTTGGGGGGTGTTTCGCACTTTTCGGAAAACCCATTCCTCCTTGGTGGAAATGGAGGTCAAAGATTTGGTGGGTGGCGTCTCGCGCTCAAATTCATTTCCTATATTTCCGATCTATATGAAAAATGATTTGAGACGTGTTTCTCACTTTTCGCAGAATTCAAACTTCTTCGGGGGGAATGCGATTTAAAGATTTTTTGGGCGGCGTTTTAAGTTGTGTCCGATTTGCTTCAAACTTATTTTTAAAGCTCTTCATAAGAAATTAATAAGTACGTATTTCAGCGATTTGGAAAATTCCACCCGCAACAGTGGTAAATTGGCGGAAAAAGGTTGTATGAAAGTTTTTTATTTACCATCCGATCGGCCCCAAACTCATATTTAAAGATCTATGCTTAAATTCATTAAAGGGGTGTTTCACACTTTTTGAAAAATCCATTCCTCCTTGGTGGAAATGGAGGTCAAAGATTTGGTGGGTGACGTTTCGCACTCAAATTCATTTCCAGAGATCTATTAGAAAAATCATTTGAGACGTGTTTCACACTTTTCGCAGAATTCAAACTTCTTCGTGGGGAATGCGATTTAAAGATTTTTTGTGCGAAGTTTTAAGTTGTGTCCGAATTGCTTCAAACTTATTTTCAAAGCTCTCAATAAGAACTTAATGAATACGTATTTCGACTATTTGGAAAATTCCACCCGCAACAGTGGTAAATTGGCGGAAAACGGTTGTATGAAAGTTTTTTTGTTTACCATCCGATCGGCCCCAAACTAATTTTCAAAGATCTATATTCAAATTCATTTGAGGGGTGTTTCACACTTTTCGAAAAATCCATCCCTCCTTAGTGCAAATGGGGGTCGAAGATTTGGTGGATAACGTCTTGTGTTCAAATTTATTTCCAAAGATCTATAACAAAATCATTAGAGACGTGTTTCACATTTCTCGCAAAATCTAAACTCCTTCGGTGGAAAATGCATTTCATAGATTTTTTGGCGAATTTTAAGGGTTTTCCGATTTGCATAAAGTTGTTTGATTCCCGTCCGATCAGTTTTAAAATCATTTTTAAAGCCTTTTTGATTTTATAACATACGTGCCACGGGCAAGTCCGGGTTATACCCGCTAGTTTAAAATATAGCTCAGTCTAAAATTCTATTCAGATTTACAATAAATGTATAAAAACTTCGGTATCTATTAAGTTCATAATATTCCGGAAGTAGTATTTAGTTTAATTCAAGCTTTCCTTTCTATTTCAATAATGTACAAAAATGTGTGAAAACTAATTATTTTATTTGATTGAATGCGATGTCATTATTATATCGTGCTTATGCAGCTATAATTAATAAACGCATAGATTAAATTTATAGCGGGTCTAATGAGCAAATCAGATGACTTTGGTCGCGTCTAGCCAGAAAACCCTCATCCATTCTGCAAAGCTCAACCGAACTTAATTAACATGCTGGCGCTTCCAGACGTAAGGTGAGCCTACGGGACAGACATTTTTATGGCGCATTGTTAACGCGAGCTGCATGAGCCACAGAATACACACACACACACTTACACATACACACATATGTAGACAAAAAGAACAGCAGCTAGGAGCCGACTGGCAATACAATTTGCCGTGACAAATGCGGCTATAAACAAAAATGGCGACGCCGCCATTTTCTAGTGCAGCGACAAAATGGCTGCCAGCTAAAGTGCCAAGCGCTGGGCGAGAATTTCATTTCAACGACCTTTTATGGAATTTATCACACGCGACCCTCGTCTCTGACAGCAGATTTCGGGTGCAAGTCGCTGTGGCCTTACCTTTGGTAATGAAATTTCGCTTTAGCAATTACGTGTACCTCGGGCAATTTAAAATGTCGACGGGTTACGGACTCTATGCACTGAGCATTAAGCACTGAGCATATGTTTGGGGTAGTTAGCAGCTCGAGTAGCTGCTGCATAAATTGATGCTCAAGTAAGTGCCCGCACCCCAGTGCAAACCAACTCGATGCCTTGGCCCGAGCCCCAAATCAATTTCAATGAGAGCCAACAACAAGCGAGAAACAAAGCACCACAAATTTATAATGAGCTTGGAAAAAATAATGAAAACAAGCATAAAGAATGTTACTTGAGGTGTAACGTACTCTTAATACCCTTATAAATGGCATATATTAATCGCAGAATTAATCGGAGCAGAAGAATGTTTTTAAACATAAACAAAAACTAAGCTTTCTGCAATTGATTGACTTTGTAAACAATTTGAATTAAATTTTGCTGTAATCGAAATCTTAAGCCAATTATGTTTATTCTATCAGGACGCATCTAGCTAAAGTTGCATAAGAATAGAGCAAATATGCTATATGGAGTCAGCTTGTTATTCCGCACTGAAATTTATTTAAGGTTTAGGGTTTCGAAAATCTCTTTTACTACGACTTGAGACGAAATTAAAATCCCCTCTGTTAGTGTATAAAAGGACACATTTTGCAAAAATATTTTCATGGCTCGCAGCTAAAATGTTATTAAAGTCAATAACATAAAGCAGGGGACAATATCTTTTATGGGGCTGGTAGCTGAGCCCAGGCCAAAGTAACTTTGCCAAATAAATATAAGAAAAGCTTACAAATAAAAGCAAATCGAGGACAACAAAAATTACAACAGCAAGAACAAGAAAACGTGGGCCAATGTCAAAGCAATAAAAATAAAAAATTGCTTGTAAATAAAAGTTAATATATTCACATATATGATGAGGACAATGTGGGAATATTTACAGAGAGCTTTCAAGAAGTTTTCAAATATGAGAAAGAGACAATTATTTTGAGGCTTTTTACCAAGTTAGCAGGTCCAATTACTTAGGGTTGCATTTGGCATATATGAATAGATGTTTGTCTGAAGTTAGCAGCACCAAGGAAAAACTGACAGCTTTTCCCTAAATTCAAAGACAGCTGAAAAAAAGTGAAAAATTCGAAAATTTGAAAATGAAAGTGAAAAAGGACAATGGCGCCGAGGGAGCGTCTGAGTCACCCACCCGTCAAATTCAGCCTCGAGGTAAGCCCGAGAATTACTGGGAGCTCTGCCAGGCGCTCGAGTCGCATGACGACACCGATTTCGATGAATTCGAGAGCGAAATGCAGTCTATTGCCTTTGCGCCTAGCTGCTTGGGTCCGCAAAATGAGCTGGAGCACAAAGCAGCTTTGGCCACCAAGGCCATAGAGCGCGAGCGGCAGAATCGCACGCGTGCCGAGCTGCTGCTGGGCGAGAAGGAGCTGCCGGGCGCACTGCGAACCTTGGCACGTGTCTACGACTTTCAAAACTGTCGTCTACTGGACAAGCCACGAGAGGCGGCTGTAAAACCGTTGGGCGCAGTGCCCAAGCCGCAGCCAGCAAAGCTGCGCGAGGTGCCCGTTGTGCCGCCGGAGCTGGAGACGCTGATAGTGGACCAACCGCAGCCGCAACATCAGCAGAAACAACATCTGCAGCAGCAGCAACTACAGCAGCAGCAACTGCAACAGCATCAGCAACAACAACAACAGCCGCAGCAGCAGCAACAGACGCAACCGCTGCACCGCCAGACTACCTTTAATCCACCGCATTCTTTTCAGCCTCAAGCTAATTTTCATGCTCAGCCTCCACCTCACTCTCAAGCTCAGCGTCAATCACATGCTCAATCTTATAACCAGATACCTCCTCCACAATCCTATCAGCAGATGCCTCCTCACCAATCGTTTCATCAGATACCTCCTCCACTTTTATACCAAGAGATACCCCCTCCTCTTTCCTATCATCCACACCAGTATCCTCCGCCTCCTCATTATACTCCCCACCAACCTTTTGGTCCTCCTCAGCCACCGGCTGCGCGACGCTTGGATCCCAATCGCTATGGCCAGGAGCAACTTTCCAGATCCATTGCATCTCTTGGCAACGAACATGTCTTGCAGAACAGTCTGCCGGGCAGCAATATTATTCGCTTCAACAGTCGGCCACCGTCCAGGCATCACCAGCCACAGTACGTACCACCGCCGCGCCAGCCTTCGCATCGTCAGCCGCTTTATGCTCCGCCACAACGCCAGTCGACGCATGCCCCGATTCCAAGTGGCGCTCGTCCGACGCGCAAGCCCATTATTGTGGTGCCCAGTGAGTTTACAAGTCTGGTTACCCTGCACAATGTGCAGCCGCTTCTGCAGGAGCAGCGCTTTGTGCCACCGGCTATAATGAGGCGTTCGGATCTGCGGCTGCTGGAGGAAGTCAATATAGTGCGCAACTTTCGCGGCGAGCAGCAGCAGTATCGTGTCATCGACAACGTGGCCAGGCTGGCTACAGAGGACTGGGAACAGGTTGTGGCCGTATTCGTGTTTAATCCACATCAACAGTTCATTGGCTGGCCCAACCACGGCGACCCTGCGGTCATCTGTCGCCAATTGTGTGCCTTTCACTTGCACTACAAGGGGCAGTCTATCTATCGGGAGTTGGAATCGCTCTGGCTCAACATACTGAGCATTCCCGAGCATGAACGCAACCTGGATGGCGAGATATTGATGGAGTTCTGGCGCAAGCTGGATCAGCATATGGCTAACAAAGATCGTCAGTTGGGCTTTCCCCGTCAGAGCTAGGCGAGGCCCGGAGGCAACTGAAAATTGAGCACACTTAACGCTTATCCCGATAATACATAAAGATATAAAATCAATAAATGAAATTGAATAAACAGCCCACAGTCGGGTAGCAAAGACAAAGGCAATGCTACAGACATACACATATGGGGTGCCTGGCTGGGTAGCTGGGGGTTGTGGGTTGTGGGCGGGGTGGTTTATCTTGATGTTAACGCCGATAATAAAAAGTGTAACAGCAGTGACGGCGCATCAGAAAAATATATCACGTAAGTATAAAAATCATATAAAAACGTTGCGAAACTGCAAAGTTGGCGAAAAAATTAAGAGCGCAAACAAGTCGTTCGGAGAGGGTCCAGGGGTGGCAACTTATGGGGCTTGGGTAGGAAAATGAAACGCACGCGTGAGACAACGGCTAAATGACACACAAAGGAGCAGTTCTTTTATACGTGTGTGTGTGTTTCTATACTTATATAAGTCACTGTGCGTCCCAGGGCACAGTGGGCAAATAGAATGCGGATTGTCTGTGGTGTGGATTGAGCTTAACGGGTCGCATAGAAATCACTGGCTAAATTAAATTTTTATATTTAAATAGAAGTAGAATGTGCGATTTTTGTGTGTGTGTGTGTGCGTGTGTGTGTGCGTGTGTGTGTATGTGCGTATGGGTGCGTATGTGTAGGTGTGAACGAGTGCATATAAATAAATGAATACTTAAAGCTAAGGAGCCAGATACAAGAAATACAACAAAATTATTGGAATGTCTTGTAATCAAATGTTATCGATAAGTCTTCCAATCGATAAGAAGCAATCGACATCGATTACAATTGGAATTGTCTATACAAACATGTTAGTCCGACTATTAAAAATCAGGGAGCTTCAAATAAAAATAAAAACTATGCATTGATATATATGCATATATATATAAAATAAACAAACATGCATTGATATTGCAATTTTGAATTCCACCCCACTGTGCGGTGTATCCTTTGAGCAGCAGCTAGTTAGTGAGAAGCCACTTACTCGTCCTTGCCAATCGAGCTCGATTCTAACGGATAATTCGATGTCTTACGCAACGTGTGTGAGACAAAGGCAGGTTGTGTGAATGTTGGTGGTGCGAGTGGTGCGATTGGGCGGCTGCTGGTTGGGCGTGTGGACATGTGTGTGAAAATCGAGTTTGTCGCCAATATTCAATTTTGTAAATTGAAGAAAAGTAGTAATAAAAAGTAAAATGAAATCGAATTCGTGCCAGCTAAGATAAAAGTTTACGCACATGAGAGAGTGAAAAATACAAAGAAATAAGTAAAAAAAAAAAAATATATATGTACAGGGTTCTATTAACCCACAAGAAATTGAATAAAGTGTCATGGACAACGTTGCAGTTTGGTTGGCGTTGCTCAAGAAAAAGATTTTCCAAACGGATTGCCATTTCGCAGCCAGGCTAATCGAGATTTCCCAGTTATCGATTGGCAATCAGTGTGAGGTATTTTCTTTTCAGCGCATAGTTACGTAATTTATGTACTAAGGATGGTATCCTAAGCAAAACAAGCAGCAGAAGAAAGCATAGCTAAACGCTCAAATGGTGTTCACATAAATTTTGGGTTAAAATTTGCATTTTCAGCGTTTTGGGCGAAAACACAAGCGAAACGAGCGAATGTGAAGAAAAACAAGTGCAGAATGCGCTCCGCATTACAATTTCGAATGTGGCCGAGGCTAATGCCCTGTCACGCCCACTTAACGCCCACAGCGGCCAACAAATCGCATATAATTCAATGCTCAATGGCAGCTTTTTGTGGGGCCCTTTGATTTGCTGCTGCTTTACGTTTCATTTTGATATACACACATGCACACATCTACTCTTTTTTTCATGCTTCTTTTATGGCTTAAGTAACGCCCGTTCATTGGTGGGCGTGGCACGTCGCAGGGGCCATTGCTGAGTAATGCGCGTAAATAAAATGGCACATGAAAATACGAAAACGCATTTCCATTAAAATAGCGTCTGCAATCGGATTGTGGAGCCATTGACGGTTCCAGTTATGGAATAAGTCTGCACAGAGAATCAACTATTCTGATTGACATTTAAATTTACGAATACGCAGAAGACTCTATAAAGAACATTTATTTTCCTTTTTTAAGAACATCTTTTTAAAAAGGTTTTTATCTTAAAGTGCATGGTTGTTCGAATATTTTTTACATTTATTTTGCAAATATAATGGCAAGTCGGATCTGTGGTCCAATGAATTTGTGTATTCAGTTAAAATAAATGCATTATTCATATTTTATTATTTATTCAGGATATAATGGATTGAAGTGAAGTAAAAACTACAAAAAAATGTTTATTAAGAAAAATTTCTGATAAATACCGAAATATTTCAAACCTTTTAGATCAAATATTCTAACAATTAATAATTTTTAAAGAAAATACGCCAAAATGTTCTTGTCCAAAAAATAAGGTAAATTTGATTGAATTAAAAATCTTTTGCAAGCCTTTGCCTTTAACATTAATGGCATTTCTACCTCACTCAGGGAGCCCAGCTCCAATTGAATTGATATCATTTCGTGGTATTACTTCTGGCTTAACACTGATTACACACGCTGTAAGACATTTGCGCACTTACTTATACGATAACGCATACAGATACGCGTGCATAGACATGTTTGCGTGTGTGTGTGAGCGTGTTTGCGTGTGTGTGTGAGCGTGTCTGCGTGTATGTTAGTGTGTGCATGCACTCACTTACTTATGCCAAGTGAAACTTTTACTTTATACCCAAGCGAGAGCTCAGAACTGGCAATCGCGAACCGAGAAGCACTTTTAGCTACCATAAATCCCCATGCTTCGAAAACTTTAAAAAAGTGTGGCTAAAGTTTGTAGCCCGTATCAAAAATAAAAAAAAAAACAAAATAAAAAAAAACCAAACAACATCACATGTTTAAGAGAAAAGCGGAAAACTACAAGGACCTGAGAGGTGAAAAGCTCTCTCGCTCTCTTCGATACGCTGTTGTTGTTGTTGCAATCAGAATATAAACTTACAGAGCGCGACATAAATTGAAAAATCTAACCAAGCAAAAAAAACATATGAGATTTGGTCTAAGCATACCAGATAAGCAGATATTCTGCAGAGGATAAGAGAATTTTACTTGAAAGTTTCGTGAATCGGTCTTCAAACATATGGAAGATTTTGTTTGAGCTTTCTTGTTTATTTGTATTTATAGGCTTTAAAAGAAAATGTTACGCTTTCTTAATTACAAGTTTTTTTTATTTTCTTTTAAATATTTGAACTTTTTCTTTATTTTATTCTATATACATATTATCTCTGTTGTCAATATAGAGAAAGCATCAAACTTTGCAAACTTAGGACACATTTTTAGTGGTTTCGCTTACGACTCGAATCTATTTCTTAACCTGGCTCTCTATAATAACAAAACTCTCCTGAATCCATTTTATTTGATTACAGGGTATACTCGAAGTCTTTAGACGCTATGAAAATCAAGCTCATGGGCATTTGTGCAAGTCCAACCCGAAGTTTAATGCGCTGTGTGGACAGCGACAATATCGACGACACTTTGATGCCAACAACAGCAACAAGGAGACCAACAAGAGGTGCAACCCGAACCACACACACGTGCAACCACAATGAGTACTGGAGCTTTAGCTGGCCACCATTTGGTGGTGCGCTGTTTTGTGTTGTTTTGCTTGGCTGTTTGGCTTGTTTTGGCCAATGCCTGCCAATTGTTAGCCATTGATTTCGACAGAGCATTGTATACATCTACACACACACACACACCAACCCATATCAAAAGGGAGGCACTGTGGCACACTGTGAATGAATGTGGAATATGAATGGAGATGGCGCAAAAGCACTCGACATATGCCCAGATTTTTGAATGCAGTCCTGTTTTTGCAATTTAATACAATTATCGTAGGAGCAAACAGAAGCAAGTAAGGGTGCCCTAGTCGCGACTAGCAGGTACCCCGTATCTAGTGTCGAGCTGCCGTTATAAACACTTATACTTTCTTCTAAAAATATATATTAAAAACAATGCACGCACACACGCACATAGACTACGCACTCTTAGCTGCGGATGTACCTTTTCTTTCCATTGTCCCAGATTTTAAGATCTTACTTCTTGAAGAATGGGTGTTTATCCTCCGATCCTTATAAAACTTTCAGGGCTTAAATTAAGACCTCGTTCTGCGTACCCGATAATATAAGTTCAGCCGAGATGGACGTGTACAGACAGACGGACACGGCTATACCAACTCAGCTCTTCGTCCTGATCAAGAATTTAGGTACTTTATTGGTTTGGAGATGGCCGTTACATACATGCAACTGAAACACCCTATTAACCATTTTCAATTCAGTTCATGAAAAGGAAAGGAGTCGGTTGAAAGCCAAAAAGTAGGCACTGAAAATGAATAAAAACTTGTGTAAATGCAGTGCAAACAGCAACAACAACAGCTCGGACGGTTAATTGCAGTTCAGCAGCGAACTTTACTTATAAACAGGCAGAGCTCAACGATAACGAGCTGCCAAACAAACATGGATCCTATTTACTTTACAAATGCAACTGCGCTGTAAGTGCAACCTGTGGCACCCACACTCGCACACTCTCACACACTCTCACACGCACACACACATTGCTGGTGGTCAGCTCGGCAACTTTTCAACTTGCGCCAATCAAACAAGTTCAATAACGGTAATTAACAGTGCAACGGCAGCGCGTGGCTGCTTCAAATGCAACTCGAACTGGAAAGCGACGCCAGTTGCTGCTGCCCCACCGTAGTTTGTGAAAAGTTCAAAGCTATTAGCATGTCCCTATACCCTGCAATCCCCTTCCCCGTCCTGTATCCGTGTTGTCGTTTGCCAGTGGCGGCAGCAGCAACGGAAGTATTCGAGTAGTTGCACCACCCACCAAATGACGGCAACTCCTCCTCCAACCGCCGGCGTCAGTTATAGACCATTAGCGAAAATGGGGCGGGCGGGCTGGCTGGAAACGCGGCATTTTTGTGCCGACCTGCTTAGGCCGTTCAGTTGGCCATTTGGCCACTTGGCACTCGGCATGTCAGTTTTGATTGAACCTGATGGACGCGCCTAATGTGGTTTAATTGTGAATGATGTACAGAGGTCACAGCGGATGCC